CCTGAAGGTACTCGACCTGATGCTGCAGATCCAGCCTCAAGTCCGCCATGTGCTTCACCACCACTCCCATGGCCTCGGCATCTCTCTGAGACCTCGCTTGCCTGATCCGGGAAACACGAGCAGCCTCCTCGGCAGCATGACGAGCCTCTTCAGTAGCTCGCGCCTACCTCGAGCTCCTCTGCACCTGAGCCGCCAAGGTGTGAATAGAAGAATTCACCTACCGAAAGGAACCGAGTGATCAAAAGAAACCAACAAAACGAAAGCCAAAGAGCTTTAAAAAAAAAAGGGAGAACACTTACCACCATGGCATGGGTAACGGCATGCTTCCCCCCTTTTGGACACTCGAAGAAACCCAAGGAACCCTAACAATGCACCTCGCGCCGTCAGAACCAAGATTCAAAGTGCAGGGCAAATCTACCTGACACCTTGTGAACTCCCCGTGCCAGGGCAAGACCCTTAGCACGAGGAGCGGGGGGCAATTGATGAAAGAAGATTTGGCCCGGCCTCGCAATTACGCCACGTGGCAAAAAACAAGTAGCTCGGCACTTGAAGCAACGTACCTAGGGTGCAAACACCAAAGGGAAGAAACCAGCAGTCCGAGCTCCCCTCGAGGAGACCGAACTCCCTTCGAGGAACCCAAACTCCCTACGAGGAGCCCGAACTCCCTTCGAGGAGCCCGAACTCCCTAAGAGAAGCCCGACCTCCCTACTAAGAGCTCGAACTCCCTACGAGGAGCCCGAACTCTCCCTTTGGCCTGAGCCACACAAAGCAGTGACCCGAACTGGCCCGCCTCATGGCAGTTCGGGACACTCCCCTATCTGAACTCAAGACTTCACCTCGCACACCGCTCCAGCACTTCGCCTCCAGAGCATCGAACTGGACAAACCACACCGTACCTGACACCGAGGGAGTCCGTATCCAGGGGCGCCGCACCTGACTGACTTGGGATCTGACGCTTGACGGCCGCACTTCAACGGCCACCTGCCACCGTCACTTGCCACCGCCATCTCCAGTTACAGAGACGGCTCTAACAAAAAGAGCAGTGATGGTTCTGCCTCAACAGAAGGTGATGACACCCGAACTGGCAGAAGCACGAAAGTAATCGTACCCAACCTGACAGAAGTCTAGGAGTGAGTGCGCGAGGTGGTTATAAAAGGCTCTCCACCCCTTAAAGAAGAGGTATGCAAACTTTGCGCTATCTGGTTTTATCTTGCCTTTGAAGGATTCTAACTTGGGCTTCGGAGCCTTTACACCAGGTTCCCCCCGGAGCTTCCTCATCTTCTCAATTTCAGGTTCCCTGCTACTCAGTTCAGAGGCAAGGTCGTTGACAGCTAAGACCGGCCGGATTGCGCACCATCAGGATACATCTCTAATATTTTATAATAATCATATTAAAGAAAAATAAGTGAGATAAATAATAATTATTTTTTATTGATTATGAAAATAGAATATAAAATTTAAAACAGATAAAAAAATGAAAATGAAATATATACATATAGATAGATAGATAGATAGATAGATAGATAGATAAAGTTAAGGAATTAGACCAAAGTTCACATTTTGAAGAAAACAATTGAAACACCTCTTTAAGTTGGGGGGTCAGATTGGTCGGTTCGTTTCGTTGAAGCACTCTGGGCTTACTGAATGCCAATTCGCATGCCGACGGGCCTTTACTTGATGAAAGGGCTCCGTATGCACTAACGTATGGGATGGAGCCCATCCTCCCATACAAAATTCAGATTCCATCTTTAAGAGTACAGCTCGATAAAGACCTCCCAATAGATAAACGATGAGAAGCCTTGCTAGTACATAAATGCTAGCACATAAAGACCTCCCAATATATATATGTATGTTTTGGTGGCTGATCAACAACTCAACCTTTTGGGTTAAATGTGTCAATTTTTGATATATCATAATTGAATATAAAAATTAAAAGAAGATAAAATATTAAAAATTGTAAAAAAAATATTTGAACACATCTCCAATATAATATAATATATTTATCATATTAAACAAAAATATATATAATAAATAAGAAATATTTTTATGCACATAAAAATATAAAAAAGATCATAGAAAAATTTGGACACATTATTATTTGTCTGTCAGATGCAAATCATGTATACACTTACTAGTACTTCCAAAAAACTGCATCAAGAAACATCTTTGTATTAGCCAAATAAGTGGCAGACAAGAGTCCATCACGAACAAATAGCGAAATAAAGTAAAGAAAATGAAAACATGAGGGGTCCATGCAAGAGTGTGGATGTTATTCGTCCCAAATTCCATTTATTCATATATTTTAATGAAGACCATATGATGAGTTTGTGTTGCTAACTTTGTTTAATAATACATTCATGGATAAAGAATAACCTTTGAATTGAATAACATGGTGATATAGCCAAGCCAATCCAGTTAACTTTGGGATGAAGAAAGAGACTGGACTGACATGAAACAAAATTGATGAATTGATTTAACATAGCTGGACCAGCTTAGAGATGAAGTGGATTCCATATTCTTCCTCTTTGAGACAATTTGAAAATAGAGATCAACTAAGCACCACTTCTAAGTCACTTTGCCGACTTGACTTTGCTGCTGTATCCACCACATTCCCATTCTCATTTTCTTCCCTGGCAACTTGGCTCTTTATATGCCACAAGCAGTATCCATGCACAGGCAAAGAAGTTTCACATACATAGAGGAAATAATTAGGGATGTCAATGGCTTGAGTTCGGAAAAGGTTTTGTAAATTTTAAACCTATCCATCTCCCTAATCCTCCTAATCCGTATCCATCCCAAAACTTATATTGAGTTGGACTTAATTTTGAGAATCTAAATCCTTTTCATACATGAAAATGTAAAACCCTTCCCAATCCTACTTTCCTTATATTCAAGGTGGGTGAATTGGGTTTAGAATCTACATCTAATTTTTTTATTATTATTTTTTATATATAAGTAATAAATAAATAAAATAATACAAACAAATAACAAAAATTTTAAATTATTTGAATAAAACATATAAAAAACACATAAACTATTAATTATCCTTCACATAAAATTCAAAATATTATTAAATTCAACACCTAATATATAAAGTTTATATGCTTTTATACAATATACGGATTGGGAGGGTCAGATTTAACCTAATGCCATACCCTACTAATACTTATACAGATCTTGAAATCCCAAAACCCGACCTAATTCAAAAAACCAAAGAAAACTGCTTCACTGGATAAGGTGGAAACTGCCATCGCTAACGATAATGTTTGACGAAGCCAATTCAACGCTAGTCCTTCTGTCCAAGAGCAGCAAGATGCAAATGGGGTCCATTCGGTTTAATTAATTTGGCTCAAAAACAGGCAAAAAGAAAATTGATTTGTCACTGCATCAAGCAATTAATTTCATGGGATTATGCAGGTTGAACCATCTAATTCAATACTTGTGTCTGGTTCTTTGATCCGTTTCCGTTCAACATTTGTATCGAACCAGAAGATTAAGGGAGATCGATTTCAATCAGGACAAACCTGTGTCCACTCCGTTCTCTTTTGATATCTTTCATTGAGAATATCTACCAATGAAATAAAATACATAAATGCAGAAATATTCTCAACGCAAGAAAGCAAAGGCTGCTCTAACGGGATTTGGCCTGACTGAAGCCGATTCCAGAATAAGGTATGGTGTTCTAAACATTGGCATTTGACAAGAGATTCAATTCAGCATCACGGAGATGTAGAGTAGTAAAACCTAGATGCTGGCACAGTTATCTATGATGTGTGGCGTAAGACTTCGTAAGAACCCTACTGTAACCTGAAATGGACCACCTTACAATACATGGTCCCGTGCTCGTGCTAGGCTTCCAACCCCAACGACCAGGACGATCCTCTAAAGAGATAATACATATAAAAATTTATAACAAGGAGCTTGTTTGATACTATGGTCATTTATTGAAGAAACCTTTTGAATGAGATTTGTCTTGAAATATGAGAAAATTAATTGTTATATGTTTATTACTGTTATTCGATAGTTAGGTGATATTAAATAGTTTTTGGAATAAGCCCTGTCGAAAAAAAAATGGCCATAAAAGGTGCAATCCTACTTCTGAGTATTTTTTAGGGTTACACAGGATCAATAGGATGGAGGGAGGTTTTGAAGAATGAACATTAGATGATTACAAGGGACTTATTTACTGATGGACCTGGCACTCTACATTGATGGATTCGGGTCAGATGGTTAGAATGTGGATCATTTTAGGATCCAAATCCGATAATTCAGGAACAGCCAGCCTTCTCCATTTCTTAATTCTGACCCACCCTAGAGCCCTAGAGTGAACAAAGTTAACATGGTGGTCGGGTTAGATGGGTCCCACAACCATTCGAATAGGTCCAATATCAACATAAATTAGGCCCGAATTTAAGGAGAGAAGATAACATAAAATTCCGCCCTTAGAAAGTGAAAAACCACCCTGTGGATAGATCACTAACAAGTCTCTGCCTCGAAACTTGAAAGGCCCGTCCTGTCTGCTCTCCACTCTCCTCAATCCATACTCCCTCTGCGCCTGATGATCCTACTCTTGAAGAGTCAACTGCCGAGATCTGCCACGTGTAAACCTTAATCCATGCATGTGCACCACATAATAACGCATATCTTATACTCTTAGTACAACAAACTACCAAAATACTTAAAATAATAAAATCTGAAAAAAATAAGGTCAAAAGGAAGCAAAAGAAAATCCAATGGGCTGGACTCGGCTCGGCTGGACTGAATCAGTCGATCCGTCAAGAATTGATAGATGACCCAGCTGAGCCAGAACCCACCACCTGTCTCCATCATAAGTCGACAACTCTCCAACATAATAATAATACTTATTTATAATAATATTACTATATTACAATATTCCTCACATCATTTCCCGTTTATATTATTTAATTATTTTATATAGTGTATAAAATTTCCCCAACCTGCCAACCAGGCCCCTCTCTCTCTCTCTGCCCTTCTTCTAATGATAGTAATGGAGGAAGAAGAGATATCAGCGACGGAGAAGGAGAAGATGGAATACACGAACACAGCACATCACACAAGGATTCCAGCCGGTCTAAGTGGAGAAGAATTCGAGGAATTAAAGCCAGTCATCTACCACCACCATACGTATCGTATCTGTACGGGTAAATGTTCATCTCTACTCGCTCAACGGATACAAGCTCCCATCGACACGGTCTGGTCCATAGTTCGTCGATTCGATAAGCCGCAGACCTACAAGCATTTCATCAAGAGCTGCTTCCTTAAAGAAGGATCCCAGCAGTACCCCACCACCGTCGGATGCTTGAGAGAGGTAAACGTTATATCCGGGCTTCCGGCGGCGACCAGTACGGAGAGGTTGGATATTCTGGACGACGAGAGACACGTCACTGGGTTCAGCATCATCGGCGGGGAGCACCGGTTGAAGAACTACCGGTCGGTGACGACGGTGAATGAGTGTAAAGGGGGCGACGGGAGGATCCGGACCGTTGTTTTGGAGTCGTACGTTGTGGATGTGCCGGAGGGGAATACGGACGATGACACTCGTATGTTTGCCGATACGGTGGTGAAATTGAATCTGCAGAAGCTGGCGTCGGTGACCGAAGGGTTAGCTCGTGATGCGAATAGAAGAAACTCAGGTGCGTGAAAAATGAAAAAATCAAAAGAACAATAAGTCGAATAGTTTCCCACGTCTTTCTTTTCTTGCCTCGAAAATTACCGAAAGCTGCCTCTTTTGGTCTTCTTTTGGTGATGAACTGATGAAGGTTCCATTAAAATGGCCGGAATGCCCTAAACATTATCTAAAATGTAATACTTTGTTGATTCGAACAAGTTAGGGGCATTGTTGTTGAATGATCACATGTTCCCATGAAGAAAACAAACGAGAGGTTTCTTTTTTCTTTTTTCTTTTTTTTTTTTTGTTTTTGCTTTCTTTGGTAATTTTCTTTCTTACTTTTTTTTTTGGAATTTTTGGTTCATATTTTTGTGATTTTGATTATGTCTGAATGAGATGAGAAAAGTTAGGTTGAGAGTTATTTTGGAAATGGGATACAATTTCTCATAGCTCATCTATTTTTGATAGGCAAATCACAAATGGGCTACACAACAGGGGCCCGGCCAGCCCACCCCAAACCTCTAAACCCGTCCAAGGTCCAACCCCGGTGAAGGCAGAACTCGATCCCAGGTCTCTGCTACAACCAGCTAGAGACAAGCTAGCTACCACCATTCACTCGTACCTCCTTACCTCCCTGTGAGTACTGTTCTCTTTTTCTATTTCAATTTGTCATTTTGTGTGAAATTCCAAGCTGGGGAGTTTCCAACTCCCAACTTCCCAAGTCTTTCCGGGTAGGCGACAGTTCTAATGTGGAGCCTGCAGAATGCCAAGATTGCCCTTAATGGAAGAGAAGTATGGAACCATGGAAGGAATGAGAAAGAATGGTAGAGGGGAGAGAGATTGGGGTCTCTGGAATTACTTGCTCTCAGAGTAGAGAGTGTCAATTGTTACCAAAATAAATAAACAAACAAACAAATAAATAAATAAATAATGAGGGTGTCAATTACTTTTATTTTTATTTTTGTAAAAATAGAGATTTCCATGTAATAACTGTTCAATTCGAAATTTGGACTTATGATTTTGACCCATCAGCTTGGCACACTGCAAATGTTAATTCCATTTTCCAAAGGGGGAATTCTGCATTCATTTGATAACTCAAGGAAGTTTTCAAGAGATGCCAATGTGATAAGGAATCTTTTCTACTCTCCAGGATTATGATTCATGTTTTATCAACAGGGCTTTACTCTTTTTGCGTGGAATAGCATTTTCTATGTTTAATTCTGAGGGTGGGATGGTGTTGGACTCGTGGTGACTGTCCATTCTAAATTTCTAATGTTGGGATTGAGGGTCTACCCCAAGAGCTGGACGGTGGCCCATAGATAAGTTGATGCTGTTGCTTATAACTTTGTATTACCATGATCTATTGGATGACCTACAGGGGACTCGTTCTCCTGGTCAATGAAAATAATAGTTAATAGTGTGTAATTAATGTACAGCTAATACAAACAAACTAAGCGAGTAAGCGCGCGCGTTTGCACGTCATATCTTTTATCAGTTAATCCATATCTATGTGGTGGGCCGTGGGCCGTAGGCCAGCCAGTCTGTGCGTGAATAATTTTGTAGCTCGCTCCGATGATAATAGGGTAAATTTGTGGTGTCGGAAATACATGATACAGGAGGAGCTTTGAACCTTTGACCCAATTATTTATGAATACGGATACAGGTTGTTTGGTTGTAGGTTTTTACGGTATAAAAGTAAGCCCCTAATAATAATTAAAGGATTTAAAAAATTGTGGAGGCAAACGAGTCAACACTTGAAACTCGAAAGGATTGTCCAATCTCCAACAAATATAGACTATAGAGTGGTCAGGCTTCAGGTGGAATCTGAAATCTCAATGTTTATGTGGATAGCACATGCACATCTACTCTCTTGACCTCCAATTAAACACGAAGAGATGAGTGATGACGGAGTGTGCTTTACTTTTAATTTATTCATTGAACGACTAGGGTGTCATGAAAAGGAAAGGTAGAGTATAGACATGCAAGTTGCCAACTTGCCAAGTTGCACGTTAATTATTAATGGAAGAAAAGTAAGGACAGACGTTGAAGAAAAGTAGAGAGAGAAAGATTTTTTATTTTTTTTTCTTGGTGTAAGTATATTTTGTTGTTTACCATGACTGTGATAGCAATGAAGGCACTAATAAATATCTGCGATAAGTTCACAATTCAGGATAAATTTGAAATTTGTGATAAATTTAAAGTCATTACAGACTTTCAATGAATTTAAAGTCATAATGGACCTATGATGAGTTTAAGGGCAGTAGGAACCTACATAAAAATTAGAATTAAGTAGGACACCATGCTATTTCAATATAGGATACATGAGAATCTTGAGAGAGATCTCACAAGACACGTGACGAACTCTTAGCAGTATTCTCTTAACAATTAACACCGAATTAAAGATCATTTTTTCAAATAGGAATCAAATCCTTTTGACTCATTCCCTTTAGAATCTTGGGATCTCTCTCTATAAAATGAGGTATGAATTATAAGAAGATACAATTCTGTCAATAGAAACTCGTAACCTATCCTTACTCCCAGTGTTCCTTCATCCTTCAAAAAAACCACCACATTTAACCTTATCACACTTGGTTCATGATCATAATACAAGGTGTAATAATCCATCCCCAACCCTTGTGGTAGATGAATTTGATCCCGATTCTCCGCTACAATCAGCTGGATATCTCCTACAACTGAACCACTATTAATAATCTGTAATCAATTGGTACCAAACAGGGAAGAATAAAAAAAAAACTACAAAATCGAGGTTTAATTAGAGAGGAAAACCGACTGGTGGGTTGTCACATAATCTTTGCTTTCTTTGTCCATGTTTATTTGTATTTTTCATTTCCTTCAAAAGGAAAGGAGTGGCCGCAAAGTTTGAAAATCAATAAACAAGGAGGCATTTAGTGATAGACCTGCCTTTTTGTGGATGCCACATATAATCTCTCTCTCCCCACTGGCCGGCTGCTGATAAGTGATGACCAAGTTATTTGTAGGCACCTATATGAAGTGTTGGTCCACAACAACAAACACCTGATCCATCCATGTAATGTCTAAGAAGGATGGATTCGAGCTGAGCTGAATCAAATATCTGGTTATTTAAGTTAGGCTTGCTAGAAAAATATGAGGTTTAAGTTTAAAATCAAGTTCAAACATCTTTTCAAGCTAGTGACCTGGGTTCAATTATGAGTCAAGTTTTTAAAAAATATAAAAAAAAAATTATTTATTAATATACATATAAAACAATCAAAATATTATATATAATATAAGTTTGATTAGACTTGTGAGCTTTAACGAACGGAGTTTCATTGGGTTCAAGTTCAGCTTAAATCTTAATTTAGAATATCAAGTCAAGCTCAAAAATATCTAGTAAAAAACTTGATTTGTGTCCACCCCTATTGTCAATCATCTCCTTTTAAAGGAATTCTATACGGTGTAAAGGTGATTAATTGAAGGGAGCTCTCTAATTGAGCTCCCATTCATGAAAAATAAAAGCAGCTCTATTTGTTTGCAGTGTTAAAATCTGAAGCAGATAGAAATTTTGTATCTAATTTAACTTTGCATCTGCCAAAAAAAATTTAACTTTGCATCAATTATGGTTTATTCCTACATGATACAAATTTTGTATTTTTCTCTCATTTACAATTCCTAGCAGTGTAAATTTTACATCTCAAAAAACCAATTTTACAAATTTTACATCTCACATTTCGTGCATAAACCACCTCTTACAGAATCAGACCCACAATGACCTGACCCTGTTTCAGCGTTATCAAATGCTACCAAATTAGACAGAATATTTTAATATTTATACATTAATCATCTGTGACATCATGTTGATATTATTCTTTGAACGCAAAAGAAGTTGGATCAGATGTGCAGTGATTGAAATGCCCAATTATTCTTTATTAGAAAATTTATCTTTGGCGTGTAGTCAGGCTATCTAACTTTGCTTCGATCTTAAACCTATTTATTATTAGCAATGCTTTCAAAATCAGATTCAAGATGGGATCAGGTCATGTCTTAGCCAAGGCCATGCATCTAATCTGGCATCAACCAGATTTATTAATTATATATATTCTGAGTTCTTTTACCTGCTACAAACAAATGATTAAATTAAAGGAGATTGGAGATTGTAAGGAAATCAATGTTACGTACAGACTAACAGACTAGGCACAAGCATTGAAAAGGAAGTTCGTTTGGTCGAATCCAGCTTCAAGTCAAATGAAACCACAAATAAGCTGAAAAATCAGAGAATGTTAACAAGAAAAGAAATACGTTAGAGCTGCTTTGCTGTTAGACACCCTATGCATATATACTTTACCTTATAAACTAAATCATATATAATTAATACGTCATGGCTAAACCTGTTCATGGGCCGGGTGGCCCGACGGGCCGGCCCGGCCCGGCCCGACCCCCAGATGGGCTTGAACAGGCTTTTTGGCCTGCGGGCTTAACCTCAGGCCAAAAAGCCCGGCCCGCATAAAATTCGAGCGGGTTCGGGCTTTGCCAAAATAGCCTGGCCCGAGCCCAGCCCGGCCCGACCTATAGTTAAACCTAAGTAAACCCGGCCTAACCTATAGTTAAACCTAAATAAAAACCCTATGTGATGTCCATTTGAATAAATTTTTTAATTTGAGAATGTTGTTGATTCACTTGTAGATCCATTGTTCATTTAAATAAAGGAAAAAAAAAAACATCTAAATTAAAATAGAAAATGTCCATTTGAATAGGGAAAAATTCGAATTTCTTTTATTAGGTCGGGCTTTGGGCTCGGGCTCGGGATTCGGGCTTTTTATCCGCACCGGGCTCGGGCCCAAGTTGTAGGCCCGTTGGTCGGGCTGGGCTCGGGCTCGGGCCTAACATTTTTCTGTTAATAAAGAGTCAAAGCCCGGCCCGGCCCGGCCCATGAACAGGTCTAGTCTTGGTCACCTCGTTTATAGAACAAACGGTAAAATTTTCGTTAAATTATAATATTTTTATTTTTGAAATTAAAAAATTGTAAAAGTGAGAAAAAGAGAGGGAACCAAAGTCTCTTGAGATTTGCCGCTTTGGACATTGAAAGAAAACTTCATTAAACCAAAGTGCTATCCGCCATTAACGATATCACAGAACACCATCTTCTTCAACATTCAGTTATATAGGGGCGAAGCTTGCCATCCGTGCTTTAAATAATATATGTAGCTTCATGTTGGATAGTTCTACAAGAGATTCTCCTGAATTATCCTCAAATGATGGAGGGCCAGCACGGGACCCACGGAACCAACCGGCGCCAGCTCAAGATTAGAAGATAGACTCCTTATGCCAACCGACCTCGGATGATGGTGGACATCGGACGGTGGGCATTGAAGGCATTAACATCGGACGACAAGTCATGCTTCCTACTTATTTTATAAGTCTGAATTACTTGGTTATTTTACTCTACGAGTCTACCAATGTCTATTATAAATACTTCTGTTTATGAGTTTTAATAACACACAAGAATTTCTTTATTCACTTCTCTCTCTTCTAAGGTTCTACGCCTTGTTCTTTTTGTGAGGCTTCAAGTTCGAAGCCGACTCGATCGTTCGGGTGCTTGTATAGGTAGCCCGGTCGAGTGCGTCACGTTGCATCAGGTGGTATCAGAGCGGGAGTTCGCCCAGTCAGATGGCCAATCAAGATGGTAGCAGTCGCAACCAACCCCGTGACGGAGATCAGGGGTTACAAGCTGTTTGGAGAGCAATCGAAGAGCAGTGTACAGCCACTAGTAACATTGAGCAACAGTTGGCAGAGATAGCTAGACAACTATGGACTTTGTTACGAGAGGATGTTCCAAGGAATAGGGATCACACATTGCACCAAGCTGGAGGAGACGACCACGGTAGACCAATCATCGATCCTATACCTAGGAACCCTATTCTTGATGATGATAGCGACGACGAGCTAGAATTCGGCGTTGCTCCAGTTATTCCCGGTGATGGTAGAACCGGTATGAATTGGCGAAATCCCGGCAATTTTAATCACTGTCGGAATAATGATGAATTTAA